CAGAAACACTGCATTAAGATGCTAACAATATGATATGGAAGTGATCTAGTCCCAAGAGAATGTTTGCAGAAAGCAGTAAAGAAAAAGAAGCGTCTTGGAGGCATGAAGGTGAAATTCTGAATAGTAGGGGGTCCCTTTATTTGATTGGCATGATTGGTTGTTAAACTATATGTTGCGTATTTAGGGAGATTATTTAGGACGGCAAAGAATTATGTGTTTGGTATGTATATTTTTTGGCCAGACATACCTTAAAGTCAGCGAATACCAAAARTATCCATTCCAGCATTTAAGCTACCTCATATTTTGCCTTTGTGTGGCATAAGTACATGTTTTTGTTTTGTCTATATKTTGCTGGAATATATTACCTTCCCCCAGGCCTGAAGAAGAAATTAACAGATTTTATATCTGACATACAACAATCAGTTTGTGCTGACATAATTAAGACTGTGTGAGGTCTAGAGCAGGATTAAGATGGGTTTTTGGTCATCTTGAAGAGAAGAGGGRAGTAGAAAGCATGAAACTAGCAATCAAACCAAGCAAACAAAAAGTTTGGAAATGTACTTTTGACCATTATTAAGTTTACATTCCCATCTGTTCCTAAGTAATTAGTGGCTTTGCAAAAAAAAAAGGTAGACTTGCATGTTGTTATTATCATCAAGACTTTTATAATCCTAGATGGATAAGTAGAACATTTCAGTGATCAATTCAAAGAAACAGAATTTAAATCAGAACTGAAAGCTTCAAATCCTGTTTACAGCAGCAGTACATTTTTGAAAAAATAGAAGYTGCCTAGCTAGTTTTGAAGGAATTGTTACTGTGGTCTTCAGGAGAGCCAAACATTTAAACTGGCAAAACATTTTGGCTGCTACACACTTATTAACTACTAGATTATTAAAAGTGCTAATTCTTTTGTGTCCTTTAAAAAACTGAAGGACATGAAAGTCAATGAGTCTGTAAATGTGAGAAGGTGGCCTCTCTGTTAAAATGATTGTTTTAAAGCAGACCTTCTTCCTGGAGATTATAATTGCTAATATTGCAGCTCATGGAAAAAAAAAAAAGTAAGTCCTGTGAATGACCAACTTTTATTCAATACCTCTTCTTTAGTATTGAAATAAGTTAATGGAATTCCTTATAAATTACTGCCTAAACTGAGCAGTCAAGGTCTAAACTAAGCTATGAAGTTGTAATGTGTAGGTCCTGCATTTATTGATCTGTCTGTACCAAATCTACTGTTGCCATAACCATTCTTGTTACTTTCTCTTATATAAACTGGAATATGATTGGATTCATCTCACCTGAATGAATCTGATTGGATTATTCTCACCTGATTGTAACTGCTTGAAAGTGAGCTAYTGGATTGAAGGTGTCTACATAGTTCTCTTGTAGATAACAAAAGAGAGAAATATTTCATCTGATGATTCATCCCAATGATCATAGAGGGGCTAAGCAGTGGTGATTTCTTCTTGGAGGTCTCCTCTCTTTTCTTGACAAAGAGGAGCTTTTGAGGGAGAATTTATTCTGAAATCTTAACTTTCAGGTGAATTGCATTTCATATATGCAGAATCTGCTCTTCACTTTCTGTGAGGAAAGAATAGTTTAACAAAAGGTATTTCCTAGTACTGGCATCTTCTTGAATCCTGAAAGCAAGTTTTCAGTAGTTATTATTCTGTGACTGACACAATCAGGCTTCATTTCTGTTTGGGACTACCTGATTTAACTATGAGAAAAGAACTATACGATAAATTTGTCTTCAAAGGTCCATGGTAAGGTGGTAGTTTGCCTTTTTTTTTTGTAATGGAAGGTAATAAAGAACCACTTTTGATATTTTAGAAGATATAGAAATACATGGCAATGTAAAATTATACGTCTTGCGAATTCCTTTTGTCTAGAAAGAAAGATCAAGAATTGAGTGAAGTGACTGAACAAAAATAAAGATAATGCGTGGAAAAATTAGTGAAAGGATTTGTACTTCATCATTCTGTTTAGATCCAAGAATTACAGAGATGTTCAGAATTTCTTTGAATTTCTTCTTTCCTTTTTTGTAAAAGGTGACAAAATAAATAAATGGTGTAGGTTGCATACATTATATACATGTATTTATAAGTACATATTTTCCTGTATAAGCTGCTTGAGATCTTTGTGTACCTGCATATGCATGTGTTATCCAGTTTTGCAGTTCTACTATTAGTTAAATGCTATAGACAAAGTAAAGAACCACCTTTCCCCAAAAAAGCTTAATATAAAGTCTGGGTAGACAGATGCACCTTAACTGTAAAAAAAAATACAAGGGACATGTAAACGGGTTTAAAAGGGTTGAAAACAGTATCTTAAAGATGTTATTTTAACATCCATATTGTTTTCAGGGATCCTGTAGAGATTGCTTTACAATAAAGAGTGTTTCCATCAGAAATTTGTTCAACTCCTGCTGAACTCTGAGGGAATTCTGTATAAAAAACGGGTACAGCAAAAGTATTTAGTAGTACAATACTAATGGGACATCTAGGGGTTTGCAGATTTACATGAAGATTTACTAACAAAAGAGAGAGAAGCTGTCTTCATGAGAAAACTTTAAAGGAGCCAGGAGGAGAAGAGACAGTAAGYTTCCACTTAATCTACATGATCTGAAATATTGATTATGAGAAAATATGGCAATCAACCAAAAACAAGAATAAAAAATAATTGAATAGCTTTGATCTGAAAACAAATTGCATCAGACACAAGAATGCTGGAAGAGATGACATTCATTTCCTGAAATGTATTTCTTGATTGCAAAAGAAACTAGGAAAGGTGCACACTGAATTTACTGCCTCAGAGTCCCCAGTATGGTATTTCTTATATTTTTATGTTTTTTTAAAATTGCTAGTACTTAAAAAAATTTAATAGTCTTACATTTATAAATCAGTTATTTATGTATCAGTAGTGACCATGGTTTGAGACACTGTCCTTTTGACAATTCATTTTGCATAGTTTTATACATAATAAGTGATGTAAATCTCTAGTTTATTTGATGCTTTTTCTTTTCCTATCTACAGTATAAAACAAATACTGAATTGTTTTAGCCACAGCTGAGTTATGTTGCATCTGGCTATTTACCTGAATTTCACTTAATTGCTAATCTGTTCAACATAAAAAAAATTTAACATCCTGGATTTTTTAAATCTCAAAGCACTTGCAGACACTGACTTTAGCATGTGATGTACTTCACAGTAGTGCCTCTTAATCTAATATCATCTTTCATTCCTTCCCCCACCCCCCATTCAAATTTGGATATTACTCTTTCTTTTTGCCACTTGGCCATTTTCTGTGCCTGTGATACATGCTTTATTATTTTAAGAAGTAGTTTATGAAAACATTGTCAGCCTTTTGAGCACCAGTTTCAAAAAATAATTACTGTAAAATGCTGGTCTGTGAGAGGGAGCTATTGGAGAGGRAGAATCATGTCGTTACTCAGAGTCAGCTACCAAAACACACATTTTACAGAGGAATGTTCCAAGTCCTGGTGTAATGTAGTTGCACAGAGCTCTTCTGTGCGATAATACTATAAACTTATTCTTGTCAGTTTTATTAGCATTCATTTGCAGTCTCCTGTCTTTTAAGGATTTTTGCCTCCTGGTCAGAGTGGCACCTAGAGCTGAGTCAATCATAGTTCAATTTGCTGGATTGCAATGTGTCTGTCATGTTGCATGATAATACAGAAAAAAGAACAAGTTGGATTGCTTTACTAATCATAGGATATAACCATAATTAAGCCAAATAAAACTCCATTCCTACTGCAACTCAGAAGAGTTGAAAAGTTCTGCGAATAAGTAGTCCTAGATGGAAACAAATGCTATATTAAGTCCTTTGAATATTGCCTGAATAAATATTTTCCTTTTCAAGCTTTCTCTCTCAGGCTGGCTARATCTCATTCATTCGGATAAACTGCAAAGGATACCAGAAAATCCAGAGAAAGGCATTTTTCATTGGGGAATTTGCTGTTCATCATTTTATGTGAGAGGTCAGATCATCAGGTCTGGGCAAGAACTATTCATGTGCAGGCTTTGAGGACATGAGTGTCTTGGCAACTCTGCCAGCATAGGCCCAGAGCAGTCCAGGGCCAGATGGGGCCAAACTGAAGAATTAGTTACAAAGTGAACTCCTGCCTTTGGTCAACTGAATCGATGTCTAGGCACTACTGATGGTACTGATTAGGCACTTCCAGTAGCTGTGATGGGATCTGAGACATCTGGAGGACACAAGGAGGGACCAGGTTAATAGCACATTCATTGTCATTCATAAAGAAGCAAACAAACAAGCAAATAAACAATTTTTCCCCTTTCTTGCATTTCTGTATTATTTCAAATGTGATATGTATTCTCTTGCAGCTGGCATTCTCTCACAACTCACTGGACTTCAGGCTATTTGGTACTTCAGGAAGAGCAGCGTATATCTTGGCACTAGTGAAAACAAAAATGGAAAGCAATTATTTTTATGCTTGTGTGGGTGCAGGTGTTGCAAAAGATTTATAGATTTATTCTGTTGTCAAATCCGCTGTTGGTGTTCAGTCAGCTTTTCTCAGACCATCTATGTTCAGTGCATTCTTCCCTTCAGAAGCCATTTTTACGAGTTTAGAAATGTCTGTGCAGTCTCTTAATGAGAGCAAGTATGAAGATCCCAAAGTTATGTTGTCCTAGGACATTCTGAATGTGTAATCCAGGTTGCCAAACTTTATCCCTGATTGTTAACACACACTTGCTATGTGTACAAAACTACATTTGATAAAAGAYATTTTGTCTGGAAGATTCCCATTCAGCTGGATTAGTAATAATATAAAAGCGCTAGCCAATTTAAGCTGTTACTTAATCCAAAGATATTTCTTCATGCAATTTAAACAAGTATATTGTCTTGTACAATAATGCAGGAGTTTTTCAATGTGTTAGTCATATCAGAATTACAGTAATTATTCATCCTGTCTCTGCTACTGATATGTAATTTATACTTGGTCTCTCCTTGTTTTCCAGATCTCCCAGCAAGGATATGGCTTCAAATGAAAGAGAGATTGTGGTTTGGGTTTGCCAGGAGGAGAAGATTGTATGTGGCCTGACAAAGCGCACAACTTGCTCAGAAGTGGTTCAAGCACTTCTTGAGGAACATCAGACAACATTTGGGGAGAAAAAGGTCCTTTTTGGAAAACCTAGTGATTACTGCATTGTGGAAAAATGGAGAGGCTCTGAGCGAGTACTGCCTCCCTTGACAAAAATTCTGAGACTTTGGAAGGCCTGGGGGGAAGAGCAGGCTAATTTGCATTTTGTGTTGGTAAAGTCAGATGCTTTCCTCTCATTTCCATTGTGGAAGACAGCTGAAGCCAAAGTAGTGCAAAATGTAGAAAAGCAATGGGACCTCAGTCCAGCAAACTACATGAAGATGCTGCCAATAGACAAGCAAAAGAAAATAGTGAGGAAGACTTTCCGGAAACTGGCCAAGCTTAAGCAGGACAGTGTTCAGCAAGAGAGAGATAATATGGAGACACTGATTCATCTGATCATTTCTCAAGATCATACCATTCATCAGCAAGTCCTTAGAATGAAGGAACTGGATATGGAAATTGAAAAATGTGAAGCACAATTCCATCTAGATCGTGTGGCCAATGATGGAGAAAATTATGTGCAGGACTCCTATTTAATGATCAATACGTGTGAGGCTGAGCAGCACGGGAGTAGGCCAGACGATCAAAAAGAGATGCATGACTATTTGAGTAAAAGTGAGGGAATTTTACAGGTTGAAGAGAGACTGAAAYATCACAAACAATTAATAGAGAACCTGTGTGCTGAAATTGAAAGAGAGGTACACGGTATATGCACGGAAAAAAATGGAGATGATGTTCTCACAGAAGGAGCCGCTAATGCTGAACTGGAAACCTCGAATCTGGAAAGTGTAAAATATGAGCTGGAAAAAAGTATGAAAGATGGTCTGAGAATCAACTCATACCTGAACTGCATCCAGAAAGAACTTACATACAGGGACTCACTGCTTCAAAAGAAGGAAAAAGAATATGAACTTCTTACAGAAGAATTTAATTTACTTCATGTTAAAGACAACATTGAAACCATGCTTCAGTCAAATGAAGAACCATCCAAGGGCAGTGGCATCTCCAGTAACAGCAKTGCTGTTCCTGACTTTGTTCATAGAGTGACTAATCTGGACATAAATGACACAGACTCTGACACTGGAATCAGCTCTACACACAGTCAGGACTCTGAAATAACGGCAGGTGACATGGTGCTGTTGTCAACATAGTTGAAAACAGTGGTGCATTTTTGAAAATTATATTTTGGAAGATATTTATAAGAATTAGCAAACCTGTTGTCTTGAAAATTAAGCTCTTCAAGATGTTATAACTGTGGCACTGCTTTAGCAAAGTAAACAGTGTCTGTTTATGTCCTTCATAGTATACTTGTGCTAGAATGCATGGGCTCACTGGTAATAGGGGCAAAGTGATTGGCTTTGCTACATCAAGACATTAGATTTTGTAATATTGATACTTAGTGAATCGGGAGCATTCTGACTGGCTTGTACCAAAAGTTTGGAGATTTCATATTCTTTGATCTTTTGGTCCACTGCTGCATCTTTCTTAACTTTTTAGGAACGTGAAGTAGAGACTAGCAAAAACTAGACAGAGAGTTTGATTTTCTGCTCTGTTACATTAGCTTTATGCACATGGAGTTTCCCTGCCAGAAGCTGCTGTAATATATAATTGAGCACGTAATCTATTAAAAAATAGTTTTTATGATAATGTAGAAGAAATATAATTGCATTTATGCTGTATTTTTTAATTTAGTTTATATATAATAGCAGGATGATATTTCTAAAAACTCCTAGTCCCATTTTAAAAATCACCTTACACACATGGGTTTTCAATTTTGATTCTCTTTCAGCAGCTTTTATCTGCTTTTAAGATCCTTAAACCCCCTACTTTTCTGCTGTTACCCTATAGTTGCCCCAGTGATGTTTAAGTCCACACAGCTCCTGCCAGCAGGCATGTCAGAACTGCTTACGTCCTGCTTGTGTGAGACACTCAAATCCCAGGCTCACACCTCACCCCAGGGGCATTTTCAGCAAGGCTTTCTCCTGCCTATCTCACCAGTTGGATCTAGTGTCTTAAGCCTCCTCAAATCATGACTACCAAAAAAAGCGTAGCAGAAGCAACAGGCAGGAACCAGACATTTTTTGTCTGTGGCTAGACACTGTTTCCCAATAGCCAGCTAGCAAATATTTTCACATAGCAAGTAGGTTTTGCAAATCCCATTTTATACTGTTCGGGAGCAGGAACCTGTAAATCATACTTCCTCAGTGAGGACTTTTGGGTACAGCTAAAACTGATCCACTTTATATAGCTAATAAAATATTGGCTCCAGGTAAATTTTTTTTTTTAAATGAAGAAGGAATGCAAAACATGAGAATTTTACAACTGTGTGGTTAAGTAAAATTATTTCATTTATTATGTAGTASTTTATCTCAAACCCTTCTCCAGCACACTGCTGTAAGTCCAAAGCAAAGCTGTAGAATTGAGGTGTCTCCTCAGTTACCAAACAAGATTTCTAACTCTGAGCTAGAGGCTAAGCTAATAGAGAGCACATGCATAATTTCTGGGCTGCCTTGTTTATAATTTGCAACTCAATCTGTTTAATACTTCAGATTAAAGGAACTGAATGGAGAAATAATTAAAATATTTCTGAAAAAGGTTCAGCCCTGCAAAATTTAAGTAGATTGTGGAATTAACAGCCTGCAAAGTAAACGAGTGGATGGTATCTAGAAGATAAAAGTAAAATTAATTCAGACACACTGTTTTCTTTTTCTGTAATTTTCTTCTCCTAAATGTCTGTCAGCCATGTGTTTTCTAAAATGACCAAAGTGTTAGGACTGCTGATTAACACATATTTAATGCAGAAAAACAAAAAAAGGACAAAAAAAGCCTTTACGAAAAAGAAATTTTTTGTGGTTTATTTGTTGTGGTGTTTTTTTTCCTAATCCTGGATATTATAAATAGTTTCTGTTTCAGTGTGCTAGTTGCCTTAATATATTTAATGTTGTGGTTTTTTCATGCAATGTTATTTGAATGCTTCAACAATAATGTGTAATAGTTAGACTCATCAGCTCCTGATGTAAACATATCTATGAAATGTATTATCTTTTAATAATTTATTAACGCAACTCTGCATCTTTTGAACTCTGTGGCATCACTCTGACAAGTAGTTAAGCCCAGAGCTCTGAATGCTGAGAGTAGACTAATGTGTTCTGGGAGTTCTTACAAATTCAGTTACCAGTAGTTACAATTTTCATTGAGTCATTTTTTTAATATATAAATACTTAGAGGATAGAGAATTGAAACAGAATAATATACACAGCTGTGCAGGTTAGGGCAAGACCCATGGGGAAAAAAAATAATTTCCACTCATACTCTACCAGATTTATTTTGCTCATAGGAACTTGTGCAGGTTTTCTCAACTGGTCTTTGTTCACACTCAGTGCTTGATTGTACCTCCCCTGCAACTTGTAGGTATTAAAGAGTATTACTGCATTTTAAAGGGAAAATAGGAAAAATAGGTTGAAAGAGAGTATTTCTTTAAAAAGAACACAATATTATCAATCCAGTGTTTTAAATCATTTATTTGAAGTTTGTACTTCGATATCTCAAATAAAGTTTATTCTTTCAGAATTTAGAATGTACAAGATGATGAAAGACTGGGTGTACTCTTTGCTACTTATCTGTCTCTGCACTTTCCATATACTTATTTGGCCTGGTTTTAGGAAGTTAAAAGTATTTTTTACGAATCTTTGTTCTCCTTACTTCTTCCATTGTCTCACCTATGTTTTATTTTAGTTTTAAATTCCCATAAGCAAATAGACAATAAAAAGCTTCAGATTGTTTCCCGTCATTCCATTAAACCTGTGGGCATATCATCTTCAAACTTTTGTTTTATTTGATAAAATTTCACATAGACTGTGTTATACTTACTGACAGAAAGGAAGATCAAGTCCTAAAAGAGGAGAGAAATTCTATCCAGGGAGTGGAAATGTGAAATGTCAAAGGAAAATGAAAGRAAAATCAGAAGGGCAGTTATTTAATTGAAGCATAACATTATTTGGGTTGAAAGGAGCCTTAAATATCATCTTGTTTAACCCCCTGCCGTGGGTAGGGATGCTTTTCATTACACCAGATTACATAAAGACCCATCTAACTTGGCCTTGAACACTTCCAGGGTTGGGGTATCCACAGATTCTCAGAACAACCTATTCCAGTGTCTCACAGTATTCCAAGAACAGATTCTCAGAACAACCTATTCCAGTCCTGTCATAGTAAAGAGTGTCTTCCTACTATCTAATAAAAATCTACCTTCTTTTTGTTTGAATCCATTCCCTTCATTCCATCACTAGAYGCCCTTTTAAACAGTCCTCTCCAGTTCTCTTGTAGGCCCCCATTAGGTACTGGAAGGTGCTATGAGGTCTCCCCAGAGCCTTCTCTTCCCASGATGAACAAACCCAACTCTCAGCCTGCCTTCAGCAGAGAGGTGCTTCAGCCCAGAGCTGGGTGCAGCACACCATTGGGGTGTCCCAAGAGCAGAGGGGAAAAATCCCCTCCCTCAATCTGCTGGTCACACCTTTTTTTTGTGCAGCCCAGGATGTGCTTGGCTTTCTGGGCTATGATTGCACATTGCCAGCTCCAGTCCCTCATATGAGCCTAGGCAGAGACCTTCAGTGAGTGTCATCTGCCCTAACACTGCTGAAATCAATAGACTTTCCTATTAACAAAAGTTTTTGTATTATACATACAAAAATAGTCTTGCATATGTATTTATAACCAATATAACTTCAGCAATTTCCAGGGAACAGTGTATACCCCAAATTCATGTTTCTGTCTGACTTTATTATGTACTTTTAAAAATTTGATGAATGCAGATGAATCAATTTAATTACCTGCTACAGTTCCTTGATTACTATTTCAAATAAAAAACATCATTTGAGCATATAGAAATTTGTAGTATTTACCATCCATTTRTGTTCATAAAAATTACCATGTAATTAGGTAATTCTTGCCTTTTTCTCCTGCAAAACTGAGCAGTCCCCAAGAGCTTTTATCACTTCAAACTTCTAGACTATATTTTTCTTCAGACTGTGCATTCAGCAGTTGTTCTATTGGATGGCTTGTGTTGTATATATACATACATACATCTATACATATGTGTTACTGAGACAGAGATTCAGAATTCACAGGCTTTAGAGTTTCAGCTTGCAACTTTAGACTGCTAAGRTAGGCTTTACATTTCTCCACATGCTCAGAATCATTTATTACTTTCTGCACATTGCCATCTGTGTAAAAAATAAATGTAATTTATCGAATCAGTATTTCAAAATCATATTATTTCTATTTCTGATTGCCTAATCTTTGGAGAAAAATTCAGATCCATGCACCTAATGCAGCAAATTATTGATATATTTGAYGTTAAGCAAATAGTAATTTGAATGGTTTTGTGTGATTGCATTAAGTTTGCATGGCAAAACTTTGGCARTGGTGGGACTGAAGGGTGGATTCTGTGACAAGCTGTGAGCAGCTTCAACTGGACTGAAGTTGGGCCTGGGAGAAGGGAGCAATGGGAGGAAGGTGTTATAAAGTTCGGGTTTTATTTCTCATTGTCCTCCTAGGATTTTATTGGGATATTAATATTTTGCTTAATAAATGAAATTAATTTCCATGAGTTGAGTCTGTTTTGTCTGGGATGGAAAGCTCTTCCTGTTTTCTCTCAACCCAAGAGCTTTGGTTGTATTTTCTCTCCCAAGCTCAGCTAGCTGGGCAGCCTAGTGTCCAGAAAAAAACTAAAAAAAAACCCATCAAACCTCAAAACCATGAAACTCTGGTTTTGTAATAAAATATCTTTGGTAATTATAAGCATTTTCATTTACAATGCAAGTGAAACATGCATTTTAGAACAGAGATCTCCAGTTCAGAGAACTCTTTTTCTAAACTTACCTTAAACCATCTCTTCCTGTCTCACCAATTTAATTACCTTGAACATAAATGATTGTATTTTTCCAACGGTGGCATGCTCAAAATTACTACACACAGAGCATTTTTCTTTTCCTAGAGCAGTGGTGTTTATCCTTCTGGGTATTTTGCTATGGCATTTAAAAGACATTGATGCTATTTTGTCTTTTATAGCTTCCAAAAAAAATTGCTACTTGCTATCTTTCTCAGGGCTCCATCTGACAACACAAACATAGTACAAAACAAATATTACTAAATTTTCATTGTCTATAATAGAATGATTCCTCCATATATTAAACCCATAAATTTTTCTTGAAAGGCTTTGAAATGAGCATAGGGGACGTTTAATATTATACTGTGCTGTAGTATTTTGTAAAATGTAACAGTCTCAATCCAAGTTTGCTGTTGTTGTTTGCTTTTTTTTTTTTTTTTCATTTAATCAGCAACTCAGAATATATTATACTGTGAAAAATCTCAAACAAAACTGTCCATGATTGAAATTATTATCTTCCAAAGAGAGGAATGACAGTGTATAATGTATAAACATCAAGATTTTCTTCCTAATWCTTAACGATTCTAATATTTTATTAATATGCCTTACATCAAATACAGATTTTCAGACAGATGATTACAGACTGATTTTCTGAAACTGGATGTGTAGCTGATTTGCATTGCTGGCAGATCAAGTCCAACTGGAATCCAGTTTATAATTTCTGTGGCAGCTGTGCATATGTTTTACAAATCTCCAGGTTTAGTTCAAGAAACATTATCAAGAAGCTATAGCTGCTTATGTCTGGACAGTACATCCCCTTTTGTGAATCATGAATTAAATGTTTACATTTTGTGCTACATGTATTTTTTCAGGTTAAAAAACATCTGACTAGTATTCATACCTGTTTTCTATTATTCATCTGACGTTTAAGAGAATTTGCATCATTTTTTTGTTAAAAAAACATTACATTTTCAAAAATATTTACGGCAAGAAGTTTGAATTTTCTGTTCTTGTCAGCTGTGTCTCACAGAAGGGTGGCAAAATGTAATCTCTGTGCATGCAAATGCAAGTTTTTGTTTATGCAATGACTGTATGCGTATTTTGATCAACTAGCTTGTTGGTTGAAATTTTAAAATATTTGAAAACTTGTGATGTTCAATCCATTCCCCAGCATCCATTATTCAGGAGATAATAATTCTGGGGAGAGGGGAATTATTTTGTTAAGAACAATACAGTGATTGTCTTGCTAGGATACGGTTAAGGTAAAATAAAAAGCTTAGCTGGTACAAAAAGTTCAGTTCAATCTTGAAGTTCAGTGTAATCCTTAGATGTATTGAGGTTGGATAAATCATGTAATGTCAGCTGTGGAGAAAGTCATGTAGTCACTTGCTATGATTAAAAAAAAAGTGTTTATTCCACAATGCAAGGAATTAGAGTATACAACATCCAAAAGTATCTGAGCCCTTTACCAGTGCGTTCCTGAGCTTATAGAGGGAGATTGTTATTTAGGAACATATAGTTATTTACTATAAGGAAGTAGTTGATAATACCTTTCTATTTGTATTCAGAAATTTTGCTAGGCACAGAGACGAACCTTCTGATTTAGAGAGTTTTGGTCATGCATGACCTAGAAGTAGTGTAGTCTCCTTTAGTATTAGACTATAATGACAGAAAATATATATATGGTAATTTTAATTCTTTTGCAAATTGCCACTGACTGTGGATGTAAACTTTATTTGACCATTTTTTTTTCCCATTCTGATTTGACTCTTTTCCATAATTTACCTTAAGTAATTACCTATCTTACGTAATTTCAGTTCCACTCAACATTTCACTAAGTTCATGTCTGCAATTATTTGAGTTATTCAGTTGTTAGATCAGATTTTGTTAAGAATTCCTTCCAACATCAAATATCATGCTCTTTTATGTTATGTCCATTCTTATTTTGCTTTGCAG